ATTAACCAATTAAATATGAGTTTATTTTGAACTTTTAGGTTTTAGTTAATTTCATTTATTTGTTAAAATCAGATAAATCTTTGTTTTCCTTCTTATATGTTTCCCGTCCGACTTTTGTCTTTGTTTCACTCTCTGCTCCTAAGGCCAGAGCTACAACTGTCATGAAAAGTTAGAGTCCCCCAACCATTAAATGTAATGTTTGTGACACAGCATGAATAAGTGACTTTCATTTTCCAGAAGCGGCTTAGAAAGTAAAATCGGTCAACCTATTCGTAGTTTCTAGACATATTCCTGTGAAGATTGTTTGGTATAAGGTCAATAGTATTGCTATTGTGTACATATATGTAGAGTGCTGATTTACAAATGCAAGTGCTATTCTATGTTATTGTTTGAACAGTTCCCCAGCATTTGTGTTATTCTGTTGCCAGGACAACTGCAGCACATGTATGTAGCATTATAATACAACTTGTATGAAACAATGCTAGAAACAGATTATATGCTTAATTATATTTCTTTCAAAACCTAAAAGGCTATTTAATATCAATTTATCTTTCAACTATTAAGAAATCCTTGAAATTATCACATTTTAATAACTGAATAATTATTTAACTTCATATCTTGAAATGTTAATTTGTTTCAACTTGGAGACAAAATCAAATATGTGCACATGTAAATACTTTCCTTTTAATATCATTTGTAAATTACCTTTTCATTGTTCTAAATTTATTTTTACATTATGCACAAAGAAAAGTACAAACTGGATTGTAAATAACTAAATGAACATGTTTTAAATGTCCAATATTGTCAATTGTATCATGAAACATCTCTCTGTTGATTCATCTGTAAGGTACTCCCAATATATACGCTGATATAAGTATTCCCCGATTTTAGCAGTTTGATCGACTACTGTTAGATGTGATACTGGTTTGTAGAATTGCAAATTTGCCATTCCACTGAACTTCTTCAAAGCTTCAAGTCTGTAAATAGCTCTAATGAACTGGTTTGTATGCATGTCTGCCTCTGTAATAAATACTTTTATACCTGCTAAATGATGTTTTAGTTTTTCAGCAGTTTCATTTTATCTTGAATATTGTGCCTATCCTGAACAAAACATTAAGTTCTTAGATACATCACGAAATTCACACCCGTACAGTATTAGAAATCTAGAATTGGGTTCACATCCGCTTTACTACTGATGTATGCATTTTTATGCCAAATCCTAAATGAATTATCGAAAATGATTCACGTCCTAACAGAGAGCAGGTCAAAATGACCTCATATTGGAATGACCTCAAATAGTAAATTCAGAACGGCAATACAGAAACAAAAAGGGTCTGAACAAAAAGCATGAAACACACATTTAATGTTTGAATGTGAAAAGCACATGTTGATCGTTATCTAACATGTGCCCATCAATATAATAAATGAACACGAAAATCAACTTCGAGGCATCGTGGTTATGTAGGAAACAGGAATGACAGCAATGTAGGCGAAGTTGGCAGACTTTTTATGTTCATCGAAACAGTATCTATTTGGAGCGGTCCGCATCTGACGTGACATCAACAAGAAAGCCATATTCGGTTGGTGCATCTTCGAAATCGATACCAAACTGCCACATCAACAGCTGGGGCAGTTCTTGGTCCAAACCAATTAGTGGAAGAGCCCAAGTCGATCCGTTGAGGGAGCACAACATTCCAGTGATATGCCCAGTTTCGTCGTAACGTCGCTGTCAGGCACGACTCCGCTTACGTGAACAACGTCTGAGGTTCAGAAGACAAGACTTGGATAGTATACTGTTCACATAAGAGTTTAGGATTCATATGGTCCTCAGACGGGTGTGTTACTCAACGTTGTCGGTTTGGGGTTGGAAGTGTAATGGTATGGCAACTCAAGTCTTGGGGAAATGACATATCGTTGTAGATTGCAACTTGGGAGAATTTCGTTCGAGATCATGTTCGACCCTTTGTGCAAATGCGGGAACGTTACGTCACGCTGCAGCAGGGCAACCCTTCCCACCTATTGCACGTTTTATAACCGACATTTTGAGGCAGCATAACATACAATAACGCAAGCTGATGTTTTACCATTCTTTTGTCTGTTTTCAATCAGTCTGTGTCTTGAATGCACCACCGCACCTCGCCTGTATCAAAGCAAATAGTAGTCACACCGACACTGACCTTTTTAGAAATCTTGTTATAATTTTGAAATAATCACAAGTTAAATAACCAAATGTTAAATGCTAGGTTGCCATGTTCAACAATATAACCTTTACACTTTTCTATATAAAGTACAGTTACTTTTCCCGTTATCAGTTAACAAGAAATAGCAGTGACATTGTCTATGGGTAAGTGAAATATGTACTCTTAACTGTTAACGCATCACTATTGATCCCATAGTCCTCTGATACCAACTCGTAGGGACTGCAGCTTAGGATCTCGTTTCCTGACGACAGGACTGATATGTAATAGGGGGACCAGGAGTGAACTCTGTACGATATTTTTACGACGGCAACTGACCCGTGTGTATGAAGTATTGATCCTGAGTTAAGTCCGCCGTGATCTACTAGTATTACTGGCCTCGGTATTGCGCAGCCGTACACCGAATCCCATGCTAAAGACACCTGAAACTCAATGCAGTGTAAATTATTTCACTTTCAATTACAGGTTAAATTACTAGGTGTGAACATCTGCCTATGTCTCTTACAAGATGTTATGTTGCAGAATATTTGTGATATTTCCTGAACTTGACTAGTTTATTATATATATGCATTCTGGCATTCATCGGTAAAGTTTACTGATGACAATTTGATAGACTAACGCTTAGTCTCTGAATACGTATAATTTTCCTATTAAATTGAAAGGAGCCCAGTGAGATGGGAGATTCAGAAGTGAGTTAGTTTTCTTGCAAATAATAACAGACCTTTAACTTGGGGAAATCTTGACTTGCTTCATTTAGGGATTTAGCACTGCTAAGGGGTTGGCAGAAGGGAAAATAATGCGATTCAGGGACTGAGAGACAGACTAACAAAATGGAAGCTCTCCTACTTAAATAAATGAAACTGTCCGCGCTTTGACATTACTGATTAAATATTCATATAACGTAAACCAAATCAGAATATATGGTGTATCTTATTCCTCCTAAGGTCCACTTCTAGGTTTAGGTTTAGCAGAACATCAATAGTGTTGTTTGGGGGCGGTGGGGTAGCCTAGTGGTTAAAGCGTTCGCTCGTCACGTCGAAGCCCCGGGTTCGATTTCCCACATGGGTACAATATGTGAAGCCCATTTCTGGTGTCCCCTGCCGTGATATTGCCGGAATATTGCTAAAAGCTTCGTTATAACCATGCTCACTCATTCAATAGTGTTGTTTAAACATACTTTCGTTGTCTGAAATAACATAGGGCTGTTCCAAAAGGTCGACGGATTGAGTTTAATAGCTAGCCTGTCACTGAGATGAGCGGAAACACAGGTTTAGATTGTGTGTAACCTAATTGTGACAATTGCTGTGCTACCAGTGTACAGCTGATGATTCATTGTGAAGGTCAGCGTGAACATGTGAAATGTTTGCATGATGATACTGTTTGACCTATCATGTAGCGATCTGATGCTCTGGGATTCTCTTTGGACGTACGTCCATGATCTCAAGAGACAGAGGTATTTCAGGTAATAACATAGTGATGCTGGAGATTCAGTGATGCTGGTGAATATGATGCAGATGTTCACATTACTGATCAACATGTACACATGATGACAAATGTCACAGTTGGAAATTGATGGTCAGATGCGGTTATCCCGACGTTGTTAGGTGTTGTTAATAACTCGAACAGGTGTCTTGTCCAGAGACAGGCCACCGTCATATCACTGGAATATTGTTAAACAACATATAAACATTTATTACCCATATGGTGAAAAATAACAGTGTCACATAATATGTACACACATGCACATATCACTTTTGCCCAGCAACCATTGTTTGTGTATTTCGTCGCCTGTGACGTCATTTAACAATTGAACGTGACGCCAATGAAGAGAGCCGTCACACTTGCTCACCGTGGTTTACTGCACAAATGTACATGAATAAAATGGGTAATAAAGAAATTATTACACTCGACCAAGTGTGCCATATGAGTTATACGAAACTGGTACAAAATTATGTATTCCCCTCTCTCTCGCTCGGGCAATACAAACTTTCACACTCGTTTCGTATAAGTCGTATGGCACACTTGCTCTTGTAATAATCTCTATATAATCAAAACAAATAATGTGACGAAGTTACTCCTTGAGCTAAATATGTATGATAAGGTTAAAATGGATAACCAATATAATCTCCTTAATCCGGACTCCCTGCCATCCGGACGACTGCTTTCTGCAAGGTGAGGGAAGTAAAGCTAAAGGTTATTACATCATGCCCATGCACCGTTGATAAGATCGATCGATTAGCCGAGTTTCACTGAATAATAAATATGCGACAGTGACTGTAATCAATATGAAGTGCTTCAAACACCACGTGACTTAGTGTGCACAAGAATGGAGACCTACAATAAACCAGTTTGAAACGTAAAGGTGCAACAGTTCATCCTGGTGTAGACATTTGACGATATGTCGTTATCAGGAACCGAACCTACGGGCGGGGACATTCTCACATATGCAGTAGTAGCGGTGGTGTTGTGAGTTATTGATGTTGTGTGGCCTGCAGACCCAGGTGCGGCAGATGTGCGACGTATGCTATAGGCGTGTGTAGTTGCTGCTATACACAGTGAAAGGGACAGATGCTACCAGGGTAAGGTCAAGATGACCCTGGCGACTGCTGTCATCCATATTGTTACTCTAATATGGGTCGCTTATTGAATCGTTGATTATCGTTTGTGAGCATATTTTGCATTTACCGATACTCAAATGGTAGCGAGATAAACGACAGTATATGTTTGGGAGTATTAGCTGCGTCTGCGATGGTAAATAGATCTAGACGTCTCAACACATCGAGTTCTCTGTTCTGTTGACAGATGACGTTCGTCAGGTGGAGGGAATGTCATCACCCGAGACCTTTGAAAGTCCCCGTATGTCGCTACTTCCGGGCGTGATAGAAGAGGATGTTGGGACTCTGCGGAAATGGAAAGGTGAGATTATTAACCACTGGACTGCCTGAGTGAATGCTGGTTTACGCCGCAGTATTCAAGCGAGTTCACTCCAGCTTGTAAACACTGCGTCCAGGCTAGGTACAGGTAGCTTGTGCGATGAACAACCCGGAACTAAGAATGAATTATTTCTATCACGATGTTGATTTAATGACCTGACCTGTTTTCAACGTATTCTACTGAGGATTGAAGTATACATCTAAACCATGTATTGACAAACGATAAATAGTATAAATAGTAGAGATAATTGACCCAACGAGCCACGCTATACAAAGCTGGCATTGTAACCCTTCAGCATCTGTCGAAAACAGGTGTAATTGTGAGACTGCCAGAATGGTAGTGGTAGTGGTAGTGAAATTTCCCTGTACATTCGAAGCTAACAAGTTTACCTAGTTATCTCAGTAGGAAATTTGACACAACTGTTTTATGCTATACACTGGGCTTCTATATTTCGAAATTAGGAAACATACTTAGCAGCACACAACTTTCTGTCAATATTCGAAAGTGATATAATACAAAACAGCACCTTCAGAGCTAACAGATTAAACGAACTTAATGGTGTAATGAACTTATACTCAACATACTTATGTTATTCGCTGAGAATGCATTACCACATCGAAAACTATCATCCTTCTTCATCGAAAGTGTAGTTATGAAAGCATGCAGAACTCGACCGTCTGTAAACAGCTTAAACTAAGGAGAAGATGACGTGCCTTGGGGGCTAAACTACTGACTGAGCAAATGAATGTGCGGTGATCAATCAGCTGATCAATCGGGTTCGACATGTAATCATTTAACCGTTACACATCTTGTATAAAGTAAAACTCAAATGGAACATGGAAATAACAGAATAATTATTATGAAACACAACATCTGCGTTCATTGAAAAGGTGGAAAATGAAGTGAGAATCGCGAAAAATGAAACGAAAACATAAATTGTAAATAATAATAATAATAATACTGGAAATTTATATAGCGCTAAATCCAAACACTAAGTGGGTGCTCAAAGGAAAATATAATCAGAAATTATTTTCACCGCTTCCTAGTTAAGGAATTACTTTAGGTTTTGGTTTATCCGTATACATTTAGGTTTTATTTAAACACTTTGCTGTGTTTCATGTGATAGTATATGAATATTTGATTTTGAAGATACACACTTCCTAAGTTAATATTTTTTTGGTTTTGTACCATATATCTAGTTATGTCCTGAAGCACCGTCTAAAAACGTTTAGAAATCCAACAGAAAACGTTTAAAACGGTGACAGTGAGAAAATATCTTTTGTGGGATACTTATGGATCTACTTACGAGTTAATTGCTCACAATAGGGAAGGTAAATTATGAAGCTTTCTCTCAAAATCTCTTTTATAAACTAGTCAAAGTCAAAGAACATTTATAGTTCATTTAGGGTTACTGGATTGAAGATTGTTTCGAATGTGTTGTCAATCTATTCATTACAATTTTAAGTGATGCCTTACCTCTGGGGTATTCTAGTAGTCAATTAGTCGAAATCGGTACAAATCGTCGTCTTTAACCTCCCATGTCCATTTCTATTCTGTCACAGAGGGATCGAAATCCACTACAGTGAGCAGGGTGTCTACTAGGATGCACAGCTCAGGACACAGAAGTGATGGGACAAGGCAAACCGCCATGGTTAAGTCAAGGAAGAAGGAAACGCGGCGCTACAAAGAACCATCTGATATAGACTCTGTTGAATGCAATGCTAAAATATCTGAAATCGCAAAGATGAGGTCAAAACTTGCAGATGAAGTCGGGTGTGATGAAGACGAGCTGGGAGACTGGCTGGAACTGAGCAAGCATGCCAGGAAGCTTCAGCAGGCGATACATACTGCTGATGTGGAGATTCAGAAGCAATCTGGACTTATTGATGAAAAGGGGATTGAAACTGAGCAGGAAAAGAATAATGAAGGTGAATTTAAATCTCAGCCTAAGTCATGGTCGAGTGAGCCACACGTTAGCGAACAGATCAGTGAGAAAGCATCAGTGGTAGATGTAAATCAACAAAATATGTCTGACACACAAGACACGGGACTTGGAGTTGATGCCAATCTGGGGATGGACGGACCTTCTATGGCAAAGGCCAGACATCTACAACAACTTAAATCTAGAGCAGATAAACTTCCGGAATTGTCTGAATATGATAATGAAGAGTGCGATGCAGAAGTTGCGAGTATGGATCTTGAGAAGTGCGAGGAGTTTGAGAACAGGCTGGTTGGGTTGACGGACGAAGAAGAGGAACTGAGGATGTTTGAAGAACTAGAGGCAAGGCTTGAGCAGGTGAGTAAGTGAGTTGGTGAGTTAATATTTATCGTCACATCGGCAGTATTTCAGCCATATCGTGACGGGAACAATTAATCATCAGTAAAGATCAATAATGTTAAAACTATAAAACTGGTTACGATGAACAGTAAAACTACTAGTGTATCACAGATAGAGATATAAAACTATCATGTAACTAAATACTTATACTATTATGCAGGACAATACAATATAAAAACGGGCTATAGATCACTAGCAACTGAAGGTAGATCACCATACTAGGGACCATGGGGACTTACAGTGCCTTTGCTACCTGCATGGACCCTATTTGGATTTACACCATCCTTTCAGCCGCTGGGGATTGCAGGAAAATTTTGAAAGAACAAAATAATACGTTTAAGAATCTGGTAAGCTTAAATTCAACTTTGAAAGTTTTGGGACTTACGTACCCTCTCAGGAGGACAATAATTTTACGATACTTTAACCCTCTTTGAGGGTACTACCACTAACAATCGCAGTTGCTAATTTATACTACCATGTTTAACATACCATTTATCTATTTACAAAACGCAGCCACATAGCTGGAATATTGCAGAGTGCAGCGTAAAACTAACCTCACTCACTCTTTAAAAAACATAATATTCAAAATGTATCTAATAATTCTATTTCCTTTAAAATTCCTTGAGCAGGATGAAAAGCAGGACGACAAACCGGAGAAAGGTGAGTCAGACGTTCCTGACAGCCATGACAACAATCTGACACGGAATAAGGGTGGATCAGACGCCAGACAAAAGCAGAGTTTCAATATAAAAAATGCATCCGATGTCAGTGGTGAAGTTGAAGATTTTGTTACTTCACAAAATGCAGATAAAGCAAAGGCTGGGACAAACACTGAAACAGCAACCATTGTTGAGGAGGTATCTGAAACTGTAGATGATTCTGAAGGTTCACCAGAACATTCACATATGGAGAATAACCCTGCATGTCAGTCCTCAGAAGGTTTACAGATTGGCGACATTTCAGAGAGCAGTGTGACCGATACTGAAGATAGGAGTCTCCTTCATACTAAAATGCACAGTGCAAATGCATCTGCAATAGTTAAGGATGACAACTTGTTGCAGAATGTTGTTGAGGATGAACAAAACAAAACTGAAGTCGGTGATGCAAATGATGCGAACCTAGCAACAGGAGTTGGCAGTGAAGCAGAATCTCCTGATGAGGTATCCGTGGATAGTAGTACGAAAGAAGTCAAAGATGCATTCAAAGATATAACTGGTGAGGAAGGTGGTGAGGATGTACAGGAAAGTTTGTCACGGATGGACAATTCCGTTTGTCAGTCTCCAGAGGACGTACCGTCTGTCGAGACTGAGAGACCGCTGTCATGTGATGAACACATAGGAACCACATCCTCTTCCTTACGTCCATCACCGTCCAGTGCAGTCGACGCAGAACAAAACGATCTTCCTCCAGATCACAATAGTCAGAGCGCATCTGACAAGTCAAGCTCTGAGAGACATAAGCACGAGAGCTCCACGGTGCTTGGTGAAGGCGCGATGAATGCAACGGCTGCTCCCATTTGTACACTGGGTGACCACGGTCCCAGTACTGTAGAACATGTAACTGCACATCCTTGTGGTAATGATGGCACTAATGTTGATAATCCTAGTGCGGGATGGTTGCAGTATGATCAGCAGTCATTAGATGAGGAATATGAAGATGCTGAAATCGACCGACCTGTCTTAACAAAGCAATCACATTTCATGCTAGATTTAATACCTTCTTCTGAAGCCGGTACGGATGTTGACGCGCCAGCAATGGTTGGTATTGAACACACAGATGAACCGTCGACAACAGATGAATTTGAGACACCCCCTAGCGGAATGTCACCTTGCGTGACGCCCCCGAGAGCTTTCTCACCTTGTGCAGCTCCGCCTCGCCGCATGTCCACACCGGAAGCTGATGATGTAGTGAAAAGGAGATCACCAAAAGGAAGAGTCTCACCATCTAAGCGTTTTAGTGAAGGTGCAAACAAACAAAATAAGCCAGCAAATGTAAGTCAAAAGACAGATTCGTGTGTTGTGTCCTAGTGTTTTTAAATACAAAGGGCAAACCTATCTTATCTGGTCATTGGTCATCGTCCACAAGAGGTGCAAATAGTCAGCTTAATGTGGAGGACTACCTCATGTATTCATGCCAACGAGTTATAGTTGCACTGTAGTTTGTGGGAGTCCTGGGTGCGTCATTTAGAGATGTGTTCTAAGATGGGAATTAATCGGCAGTGACACACACAGACGCACACGCACGCACTCTCGCACGCACTCAAATAGAACAAGAGTAAAATAGCACACTCAGAAACATTAACTGACTGACTGACTGAGTTTGGTTTTACGCCGTTTTTAGCAATATTCCAGCAACATCACAGCGGGGACACCAGAAATGGGCTTCACACATTGTACCCATGTGGGGATTCGAACCCGGGTCTATGGCGTGACGAGCCAACCCTTTAACCACTAGGCTACCACACCGCCCCAGAAACATTAACAACCAACAAACACGAAAGCACAAATCCGTTGTAGAAGTGCATAAACTTGAAGGTGACATCCAAGCTCATCTCACCTTCACATACACACGATCTGTTCGTGCTGGTGATCGTTTGATACCGTGTTTATACAACTGTTGTTTTTGCTTTAACATTTGGTATAATTGTCGCTCAAATTACGCTATATCACTGTTAATGTACAAAAGAATTCTAATTCTGTTTGACCTCTCGCACATTCGACTGTCTTGTTTTCTCTTGGGCAGTAGTCCTCCATTCACAACAAAGTTTCTTCCCGGAATCTCTCTTAAAACACAATATTTGTGTTTCGTTTTTGTTCCTAATTTCTTGTTGCAATGTATAAAGTGGCGATTGCTGTGACGGTTTTTTATGGTGCCGGACTTGTATGTATTTTAAAGTGCAATATTCACATTCTATTGTAATATTTCTTCAAAGAGATTCCTTGTATAATCCCTTAAGCACAAATTGTTGTAATATACGTGTGGTGCGGACATGCTTGTCACCAATATGTAAAGCTCAAACTGTTGTCTTATGTTTCTGATGCTAATGTTGGTTGTTCAGTGCCTGGAGCACAAATGATTTTCATGTGTTTCTGATGCTAATTTTGGTTGTTCAATTCCCAAAGCACAAATGGTTTTCATATGTTTCTGATGCTAATTTTGGTTGTTCAATGCCTAAAGCACAAATGGTTTTCATATGTTCTAATGTACAAATGCTAAATGCACAAACTGTTTTGTTGTGATGAGCCCGAAAGTTCACTCTAAATGGAGGCTTTTTCGAGACAAATACGTAGTAGACAGATATTGATATTTGCAAGGTGTATTGTATGCTGCCGAAACCTATCCAGTGCAGATATATTGATGTTTGGGGGATGTAAGCCACCACGCTGTATAGAAATGCGTTATTATGTATATTGCAATACGAAGCCTATTAATGTAGGTTTATGAGACCACATCAATAAAGTTCATTGCAGAATGTGAAGCATTTTTTGTTGTCTGTATGATCATATCGTCTAGTACAAGGCAGAGCTTTAAGTTTACATTTACTTACAACATTGCCACAGGAACATGCACAAATGTGTGACGACAAATGACTGTGTTTGGAGAGGTGTCAACTGTTTGAAGGTAAAGTTTCCCATTAAAATGACCTCAGTGTACATTTGTTTTTGTGTCATGTTGTATTTGATACGTCCACACATTTAGTTTTAGCAGTAGACAAGTTAACTGGTTTGTTCCCACAGAACTTGATTGGGTTAGTGGTGAGTGAGTGAGTTTAGTTTTGCGCCGCACTCAGCAATATACCAGCTATATATATGGCAGCGGTCTGTAAATAATTGAGTCTAGACCAGATAATCCAGGGATCAACAGCATGAACCACGATCTACGCAAATAGGTTACGATGACATGTGTCAACCAATTTAGCGAGCCGGATCACCAGATCCCGTTAGTCGCCTCTTACGCCAAGCATGGGTTACTGAAGGGGGTAAATTCTAACCAGGATCTTTACGGGTCTCCGCAGAAATTGCCTGGTGCGATTACTTGTTAGAGACTAAACCTGAGACCACTATGAACGGCATATATATAGCACCTCAAGAAGAAATATGATTTGCAAGGACGGTTTATTGGTGATGCGACGTTTGCAGGAGCCTTTGCTTTAGCGTGAAAACCTATCCATCAACTTTTACTTACTTTTAGTTGGGCATCCATAATTGTGGCATGGTATTTAGGTGAGTTAACACTATAACACAAACATTGGTCCGGGCTACTACAACGAGCCAACAGCGCACTCGTAGCTGAGTGCCTGATGAATGGCTGGACATTGAAACATATGGCTGTATTCAACACAATGTTGTGTTATTGGTCTTCAGGCCTGAGTGTTGAATTAGTCCCCATAACTCGTCACCATTACTGTGGGGTGGATGTCACATATGAGGTCACCTAAAGTTGTGGAACTTAAAGATAATGGGCGACGTATACTATCAGTCTATCACTTCACTATAATTCAGACGCATTTGTCTGTTTGACATTAACTACACACCTTGTATACCTTACGTCATTTGCATGACTGTAGAAAATACAACCAGTCTTACACACAGAGGCATCGATACATTGGAGGACAATGAATACAATTTACAATTTAGAACAATGTGGGTACTAGACTTTCAAACAAGACTGATAGTGGCATGTGACTCTTAGAGACTGACCATGTTGTCTAGGCGACATGCATCACTGTACATGGTTACGGCCCTTGGGCACGAAAAGATCTTGTGATCAGGGGTTCAAATGTCCTGATACAACTGAACAAAAGTTTGAAATAAGGTGAACTACAGTACCTGGACACTATGATTTGAATATATTTTAGTTTACACCCAATTGTTTTCAGCGTTCATGACAGTCCTAGAGCAGAAAGTGGGTTTTCACTGTAAAAGTTTATTGTATGTTAATATTGTTAATATGGAATTGACCCTTTGTTGGGACTCATATTATTGTGTTTATACTTTGTTGAATCAATGGACATCTGAGTCACGACACCGATTTCTTCCCAGAGTGCTATGGATAGTTTACAACGTGTTGCCTGTTGTATTGAATATCCTGGCCGCCGATAAGTTGTTCGGCGAAAGTAAACCAGCAGCCATGTGAATGTGAACATCGCGGTGTTTCATGGATGGATACACGGTGAAAGGAAACTTTACAACGAAAAAAGAAAATTTATTTGACGCAATACTGTTCAGTGTTGACATATAAAGTCAACGCATGTTGGATGTGTATATGAAACCTCGGCTGAAGCTAGGTGTGTGATCGATATATTGTGTCTGTGTTTCTGAACGACATCCCCTTCAATCGTCACATCAGAAATCACACTGATCTTTACAGATACTGATGTTCAAGCCAGCTTCTTGAAGGATACATTTTCCGGAGTTATCGTGAGGCAGCATTTCGAGGACAGGATTGTCGTGTAGCGTAACCAGCAATAAATTAATGAATACTTGTGAAATTGTAGAGCAATAGAGGCAGGTGCTATTTTCGGATTGATTCTCCAGCAGGGCTGAATGATGAGGGTTTGGAGATTAAAACGGCCTCTGTGGGCAGTTACTGTAATACTCATCCTCATAGTGATCAGTCGTCATTTCAAACCCAAAACCGTGTTTAAAACGTCAGTTCTTGAATGGTTTAAAATTGAAAATGAATCAAAAGATCCGTTATTGAACTTACATCAATTCGCCTTCTCATTGAGTGCAAATGTATGTGCAAGGAATCCCGACATTTTATTTTTTGTGCACTCCTCGACAAAGTCTGTAGAGTTGAGGAACGCTGCTCGGAAAACATGGATGACTCTGACAGACAGCGGCAACGTGTCAATGGCTACTGTCTTTATGGTTGGTATGACAACAAATGTGACCGTTCAGAAGTCAGTCTACTCCGAGGCCAGTATCTACGGTGATATTGTTCAAGGCAACTTCATTGACGACTACCGTAATCTGACATATAAACACATCATGGCATATGACTGGATACTAGCAAACTGTCCTAACGTAAAACTAATTACCAAGCTAGACCACGATGTTCTTGTTAATGTGCCATATTTAATCAAATTCGTCAATCAGAATGGTTACAGGCAAGATTTTCTGTATTGTTCGGTATCCAAAGCTCCGGTAGTTTTGCGAAATCCCAAAATGAAATGGTATGTCAATGAAAGCGTGTATCCCTTCAACGTGTATCCAGATCATTGTGCCGGCAGAGCCTACATGATCTCGTTAGATGCCGCCAGACGATTGCACAAGGCCTCATGTTACGTGCGCTTCTATTGGATAGACGATGTTTACGTCACAGGTATCCTTGCACTGAAAGCAGGCCTCGCGCCTCAGCCATTTGTAAAGGGCCATGGCTATCTTGCACCTATATTTGTAAAGCCGGACATTTATCAGTTGCTATTTATTGGCGTAGGGTCGGCGAGAAGAGCTCAAAGGTTTTGGAACTACTTACAATCGTAGAGATTATTATCGTCACGAGAAAGGTTAAATTTTCTACCTCGCAGGTGTTGTTTGATTGCTTTTCTTTATTGATTAGCATCAGGAATCACCAATACAACACCGAGAATAAATTAACTAAGATATATATCACTTCGACGCCTGATCTTGGTGCAAGGAAACCTCATCGTGAAAACTCCAACTGCCTCTTGTTTAACATTGCTAAAATCGGTTTTATTGTGAAGACATAAAACCAACCTGTCCGTGTTTCATAAATCAGTGATTATAACTGAATTATGTTTTTGCTGCAATGTTCATGTAGTTATCGTTATGTCAAGAGATTTCCTTTACAGGTCAGTTGTAATTCTTGAAGAGATCAGTAATACTGGATCAGATCACATAGCATTGTTTTAGTGACCTTCAGGACAGCCATCGTCCAAATATTTCAAAAATCCAAACACTATGTAGCCAAGCCACGTGTGACTTAATTGTAATTACTCAATCTGCAATCTTAATCCTTATCACTACCGCAATTTACATTGTCTTGTCAGCCACCCTGTACCACACTGTCACTGTCATTAATTATAATGTATATGACATTTATTGCCTCAATTGGTCATCCCTCTTGGCAGTGTCTGCCATCACATCAGCTGGTCAAGGAAGTGCTATTGCTTCTCTATTTGTCCATTGTCTGCGCGTTGACAGCATGTTGAAGCCTTCCTTCGTATTAAACAAAAGCATTGAATAAAATTGAAGCAACATGTTATTTTATTCTCTTGTGTCTCCATTTGTAACAAATAGTAGTATACTATCTATTCTATATTTCTGTAGAACATATTTAAACCTCAACCGTCTCTGTTATTTGTAAGAAAAAATTAAGGGTTATTTACGTTCGTCTATATGTCTTGACTTACGCTAGTGTTACTATCTGTGTTTTAGGATGATAGTAATGGTGACGATTACAATACTAGTTACATTCAGCCGACATCTGCGTCAGCGGGATTATATGAAAGTTTGACATAACAATACCACAATATTATTGTTACTCTCTGACAACGAGGCACGAGGGTAAGTTGACGTGCGCTTCCGTCATTCACAGTCAAAATAGAATATACTTACGCACATATTACAGATTTAAGTATTATTCGTAACCTATACGCAACCTAAGTGTAGCTGGGTCACATTCAATAGGCTATCTAGGCAAAGAAAAGAAACGGATATACTTCATCAGCAGGAGGTATCAGCTAAAGCTTCGGAAAACACATCAATAGACTCTTCGCGTTTTAGTGGTAAGTAGTCTTCTTGGAATACTACCAGATACTACAGGCCAGATAACACATGGGAATCTACATATATTTGAAGGACAGTGAGATATTGGAAAAAAGAGCATAAACAGTGTTATGGTATCGCGGCAAACGGTATTTCCGGTTTTCCGAGACACGGATCCTAGGGGTGATTTGCATATGTAAATCGACAGCCAGACGTCAGTCGCTTGTATACTTTTTTGGAAACCAGCAGGATGTATCGAATCTTCATAAGTATTACCCAGCAGAAATATTAACATTAAACTCAGGAATCTTTTGGAATCTGTCTGACCCCCATCCATGAAATACCTGCTATAATATTTACGTGTAGTATGTGACCCTTCCCACTCGATCTGAACTAGGTCGTCTGCATATCATTGTTGCCATTTAAGGTAGCGGAAATGACGTCATGAGCTATATTTATCTACCGGTGAATACCAAAAGTTGTAATCAAAACAAGGACACAAAACGGAAAATTATCCCTGTTCACTGAAAACGAGTTTGCACACTCTGACAAATTTAGAAAGGATTTTATTACACTGTTGTACACTTAATTATTTATTCATATGAACATTATTTCAAATGATATTTTGCATTGAATTAGGGTTGAAATCATGCCTAAAATAAAAAATTGAACAATATTTATATAAACAAATATTAAGAAAACATGATGGAAATGATATATTTTTTATGATAATAACTTTTCTGAAATATTTTTTTCCTTTTTTTTTTCAATATTGTAACAACGAAAAATTATATATATTATATGAATTATAACTTTCAAACAATATATTTTTGCAGGATTTTAGCAAAACTAAAAGAAAGCTGAATTTTTCTGCCAAGGTAAGAAGACAATATGATCCCAGTAATTTGCAACATGCATTTGCTGCCACCCAGAGTGGGATGTCTGTTTATCGTGCTGCACGCCAGTATGGAGTTCCAGAATCAACTCTCCGGGACAAGACCAGGGGGAATGTTCCAGTTGGTGCGAAGCCGGGTGGAGATACCCTACTCTCACACGGAGAGGAAAAACAGTTAGTAGACCATGTTAAATACATGTCTTCCATTGGTTATGGGTATACAAAACTTAACCTCCAATACCTAGCTGCACACTTTGCTTCAAGTCAAGGAAAAAAAGCACCAAGTGACAAACCTTTAAGTGACAATTGGTTTTATGGTTTCTTGGGACGCTGGCCTGACTTGAAATTGGCAAACCCCCCAAAACTCTCAATGTTGCGTGCTCAATATGCCTCTAAGGAAGTCCTCTCTGCATACTTCAGAGAGCTGGCCACCCTCATGACGCTTCATGGTTTACATGACAAGCCTGAAGGTGTCTTTAACTTGGATGAAACAGGTGTGACAACTGAACACGCACCACCCAAGATCGTATGTGATGCTACATGTCAACCACAGGCTGTAAAGTCACCAAGGTCCTCGACAGTAACCATCATTGGAGGAGGTAATGCTGTAGGAAATTACATCCCCCCTATTATGTATTTCCTGGAAAGAGATGGAACGACGAGTTCTTGGAAGGTGCTCCGTCAGGTTCCTCTGGTTCCATGTCAAAGAGTGGTTGGTCCAACACAAATATATTTCAGGACTATCTGACCAAACACTTCATTAAGTATGCTGGTATTTCGGCAGATCCGTCAGCACCCAAGACTCTTATTCTCTTTGACGGCCATAGGTCACATGTTTCTTTGACGCTTGTGGAATGGGCAAAAATGCACAACATCATTTTATTTGTGCTGCCACCTCACACAAGCCACATCACACAACCACTGGATGTTGCTGTGTTTGGACCGTTTAAATGTATGTACAACAGAGAATGCCAGCTCTTTCTTCAACGGAATCCAGGAATGAAGATCACAAAGTATGAAGTTGCCAAGCTCACAGCTAAACCATACCTGAAAGCCCTCCCTCCAGAAAACCTAACTTCAGCATTCAGAAAGTCTGGTATCTTCCCTCTGTGCAATCATGCATATCCGGAGATGTTGGTTTCACCGGCTTCTATCTATCCTGCCGTACAAGATCAGAATCAGAATCAAGAAAATGAAATGCCGGCATCAGCTTGTTTTCCACCGTCATCTTCACAGGCATCAGCTAGTCTTCCACCGTCATCTTCACAGGTATCAGACAAGTTCTTTGAGGAGAGGAAAATCACTTCAGTGACCGCCAAAGAAGAAGAGATTTGTACCACCATATCTCGGAGGAAACCTGCTCAAAGAGAAAAATGTTAATGTGTGCTAAGAACACTCCTCCAGCCATGAGGTCCCTCCCCTATCTGGTGATTGTGAAGTGGGCTCAGTGTAACAAGTGCCAGCATTGGACTCATCTGTCATTCTGCACTGACATCACTTGTGTGAGGCGTCATAGTGAATTTCTGTGTCCACATTGTGCATAAATTCTGTTAAGTGACTGTTGGACTAATTTGATTGATTTTTGATGTTTGGAAACACTCATTTGCTGTTGAATTTGACCACAATGTGTTCATAATTATGCAAACAGAAATACTGAACATTTGTGCGTTCATATTTTGGTGAATTCCTTGGATAAAATTTCATAATGGATACAGTTTGGTGCACCTTGGATTACAAAAAAATATCTCAACTCATTTCACATTAAGGTGAGTTAAGCAATTTCATTTTTTCCCCCTATTTCGCCTTGCAATCCGACTTTTAGTGTTTACCGCGATACGATGGAGTTCTCTCTTTTGGTAAATATTAACCGGCTTCGCTCGTCTAATGGCTCTCGCTGAAACACTATCAAAGTTAAAATAATAATTTTTTCACAAATGCGTTGATTAAATGTCATCTTAATCGGATTTAATAATAAAATAGGCCTTAAAAGTTCACGATTTTATTTCCGATCACGGATATAATCAAGTTACCGCAATACAACGACGGGTCGCAGGCTACGCATATAAGTGGTGACTCCGTCGATGGCGATCCATCCATGGAGAGACAGTGAGGTCTTGTTGATTCTCAGTCCGTATATCCTATGTCCGTCGCTTCTCAGCATGTTCATTTGGTGTTTGAACGTTTTATTCTTGAACAGGGCTTCCTTGAATCTGGCGTGCTTGATGTGTTTTTTCACGCCTTTCGGATTTCGTCATCGTTGGCTTTCTTGATGGAATACATCTTGGGTCTCAAGCCGACGTACTCGGCGATCGGCGTGCGCGCACATTCATCCTTCATCTTGCCGAGCATTTTTTTGTTGACTTGGCTGTGCATAGGGTGATCTTTAGGGTAGTCGCTGGTGTCGTACAGGTGCATACGTTTTTAATGTCCTCGTACATGTCCTCGGTGTGAATGTCCATGAGCAGGGAATCCGTGTCCTTGTACAGCACTTTGCACCTATCGCCGTACTGCTTTTTCAGCTCGTTAAAGTAGAAATCGTACATCAAGTGTTTGGATAAGTCGAGGATGCTCATCCCCACGGTAGATTGAACAAGCCGATTGAATTTGATGTGGCTTTTGTTCATGTGCAGCGCTGCCAAGTCGTCGTTGACTATCTTGCTTCGTTTTAATGCCGGGCTGGCTATGAGTTTCCTGAGTTTTTCTTCCTCACTGGATCTGACTAATTTCACGTTAACGCGTTTTCTCAAATTCTCCATCGTCTTGTCGAAGACTGAGTTGTTCATGAGTTTGTACAAGTTTTTCTCGAAATAGCTGGTGGCTAGCTTTCGCAAGTCCGTGTTCATTCGGATGTAAGGCTCCATCCATCAACTCGAGACCCTGTGTATTTTTGTGAGTTTCATTCCCAGCGACGTTTGTACAGCTGCAGATTGCAATAGTGAACGACGTATTTTGACTTGTTCATCAAGTTCGGCACGAGTTTTTCAACATTAACTGGCTTATTGTCTCAAAGCAAGTTTTGTTGATATTCAGACATCCAGTCCGGGTTCACCGTCAATCTTTCGGGAGCTAGCCGATAGCTGTTGTGCGATTCGTGTAGTTCTGCGGGATAGTCCAAGACCACTTCGAGCACGTAGCCTTTGTAGCAATGCTATTCACATTGATTATCTCGGGTGAAGAGACCCATTCGAATCCCCCGTTGGGGAGATACTGACTCACGGTCCAGCTGTACAGGTTGTTGGCGTCGAGATAGAGTATGTGTTTGGTTGGTTTGCCGGGGTTGTGACCAGGAACGTACTTGTTGTTGGCTTTGGCGTATCCTCACAAGCCTTTTTCCACGAACAAGTGCATGTCATAATCTGTTAACAATACCAATTTAACTCTAGTCTTTTTCAACAAAGCGTCCCAAGAGAGACCGGGGGATGAGAAATACAACTAGGGGTCCAGGCCGTACTGTTTCGAGCACGTTTTTCTGAATATCTCGAACACGTCGGCCAGCAGCAGCACGTCCGTTTTCAAGTACAGGTCGTGGTTATCACCCAAATTCTTGCAGCCCAGTTTGTCCCACACGTTAATCGCGTGGGCGTAATCGTCCGGGGTGATGGCCGAGTCGGTCAAGTTGCTGTAAAATTGGTTGATGGGAGGTAATCGCGTCTCGTCGAACTTGGACCAATCGTCCATGTACTCGTAGGGGTAGACGCCCTTCCTCAGCAGCAGGGGTCGAGTCTCGGCGTCGGTGTATCGATTGGTGATGTCGAAGTCGTCCGGGTCGTTGGCCTTCACCAGACTGTCTAGAGATGACAGCAGGAACTGAACGCTATCGATAAATCTCAGACCGTCTAACGAGAACGAGATGTATTTTTCCATGTTGTTGGGGATGCACGTTATGTTGCCGTCGACCTTCGCGATGGCCTGCATGATCAGGTGAGAATCGTACCCGCGAAGGTTGTGAAACACGACAGGGATTTTGATGGTTTTGGGCTCGATTTTGAGCTTCAGGTTGCACGCGTTGTGAGCGGCGCCTCTGTACTTGCCGGTGATGTGGCAGTGATCTCTCACGGAATCCCCGCACAGGGGTTCGTCGCACACGTGGCAATTCTTAGCCTTCTTGTGAGTGAGTTTATCCTTCGACGTCATGCGCATGAGAGCAGGATCTGACAACTCTTTCCTGATTTTATCTCTTCGTGTTGTAAGAACGTGAGAAATGTTTCGGCCACGTCAGGACCTCGGTAGACCACG